CCCCATCTAAATTGCCCCACCCCTTCCTGTTTAAGAAATTTTGCGTCAACTGTCAGCCGCTGCATAGAGCACGCATGCTGTATCCAGCTTCTGACAGGTTGCGTTAGTAGCGTAGCAGGGAAGGCGGGGTCTCAAGTGGGCTCTGCGGGGTCTCAGGTGGGCTGTGAGGGATCTCTTGAGGGCTGAGACCCTGCGGAGCGCACCATAGAGCCCACCATAGACCCTGCATAACCTACCTGACCCCTTTGCGGAGCCTACAGCAGACCCCACACAGCCCACCATAGACCCCACCATATCCCCGCATAGCCCACTTGAGACCTTGCAGAGTCCATCTGAGACCCCACACAGCCCACCATAGACCCTGCATAGCCCATCTGGGACCTTGCAGGGCCCACCATAGACCCCACATAGCCCATGTGAGACCCACACATAGCCCACCTAAGACCTTGAAGAGCCCACCACAGACCCCACATAGCCCACCTGAGACCCCCACAGAGGCCACCATAGAACCTACGCAGCCCACCTGAGACCCTGCAGAGACTCTCGGGTGGGCTGTGCAGGATCTATGGCAGGATATGCAAGGTCCCTTACCCTGCACACATGTGCTGCTCCTCTTACCTGAAGCCCCCCAGCCTGCCTACGGGACATCCCGCTGTCAGATGGTGGGGTATGAGCCGCCCTCAAGTTCTTCCCACTGCACCTCCGCCAGCTGGGCTGCATCTCACTTAGAAAAAAAGCGGGGTGGTACCCAGAGTCCAAGACCAAAATTGAGTTCACCCTAAGTACAAAGGGTATTATCGACCATAGGCTATCAAAAACAGTTGCATCTCACTTAGCCCCCCTACTTTCTCGCCTCTGGCCCTGCCTCCTCCAACCGACAGCTCTCTTTGCCTGATTCTGTGCTGCCCGACTTGCTGCGTTGATTATGGGGCTGCATTTTTTTGCCACCCCCCTGGAAAGTACCGCCCAGGGCAAACGCCTTGTTTGCTTTGTGGTGGATATGCCCCTGGTGGTACCACCAACCAAGTCTATTAAAAGTAGTTTTTTAATACACTATATGACCAAAGTACATGGACCTCCTTCAAATGATGGAGTTCTCGTGTCTCCAGCGAAGCTTCTGGTAATACTCCATCATACAAAGACATTGTAGACAATTGTCCTCTTCCAGCGTTGTGGTCACAGTTTGGTGAAAACCCTTTTCTGTTCCACCATGACCGTCCTCTGTGTACAAAGCCAGCTCCATAAAGACGTGGTGTGACCAGCTTGGTGAAGACCCTTTACTGTTCCACCATGACTGTCCCCTGTGTACAAAGCCAGCTCCATAAAGACATGGTGTGACCAGCTTGGTGAAGACCCTTTTCTGTTACACCATGACTTTCCCCTGTGTACAAAGCCAGCTCCATAAAGACATGGTGTGACCAGTTTGGTGGAGGAACTCGAGTGTCCTGCCCATAGCCCTGACCTCAACCCTACTGAACACCATTTGAATGAATTGGAAGTTGATTGTGAGCCAAGTCTTCTCATCCAACATCGGTACCAGACCTCACCAATGGGCACCCTCCAAAATCTTGTGGAACCCTTCCCAGAAGAGTGGAGGCTGTTATAGCCACAAGTGGACAACTCCATATTAATAACCATGGAGGTTAAATTTGGAGATTTTGTGCAAATATTTGCCATTTCTGCAAAATTCAGGTGGTTTTGGCGAATTCTAAAGGGACAATAGGCTTTAAGTGTTTCCTGAGGATTCCAGAAGCTGCTTTCACCTCCCCTGGACTTGTCATTGCACTATATAAAACAAAATGGCCCCTCGTTATTTTATTCTTTTGTTTTCAGAAAGAAAACAGCAAAAATTAACAATCCATATAAAGCAGCAATACACAAATATCTATCACATGCACTAAAAAGGGGAAAAAAACACATAAGTAGTAAGTAGAAAAGTGAATGTTGGTTCTGATAGAAAGGTGTCTGATCACACAGAGCACCGCAGGTTGTTGTGTATGGGGCTATGTACCCGCAGACCGATCAGGGTGCCCATGCTGACCCGTGTCCACCACTAAAAGGACCTACAATGGGCGTGTGCGCATCAGAACTGGGCCAGAGAGCAATGGAAGAAGGTGTAAACAAATAAATCTGCGCTTCTGGAAAAATAAAATTTAGTAATAAGTTAAATTAATTAAATTAATAAAGTAAGAATAAATGTGAATAATTATACCCCAAGCTGCTCTGAAAAAAGGTGGAACCTAGTATGATCAAAAGAAACAAAGCGCTACCTTCATACAGCTACCTTTAGCGCTTTGTTTCTTTTGATCAATGGAAGAAGGTGGCCTGGTCTGATAAATCACGATTTCTTTTACATCATGCACTATGGGAATAAGACAAGGTGGCGGAGGCAGTGTGATGATTTGGCCAATGTTCTACTGGGAAACCTTGAGTCCTGCTATTCATGTGGATGTTACTTTGACACCTAAACATTGTTACTGATCAAGAATACCCCTTCATGGAAACGCTATTCCCTGATGGCAGTGACCTCTTTCAGCAGGATAATGCGCCCTGCCACACTGCAAAAATGGTTGAAAAATGGTTTGAGGAACACAACAATGAGTTTGACGTGATGGATTGGCCTCCAAATTCTCCATATCTCCAACCAATCGATCATCTGTGGGATGTGCTGGAAAAACAAGTCAGATCCATGGAGGCCGCACCTCACATCTTACAGTTCTTCAAGGATCTGCTACTGATGGCTTGGTGCCAGATACCACAGCATACCTTCAGAAGTCTAGTGGAGTCCATGCCTGGACGTGTCAGGACAAGGGGGGCATGCTCAATATTAGGAAGGGTCATCCAGATACCACAGCATACCTTCAGAGGTCTAGTGGAGTCCATACCTGGACGGGTCAGGAACAGGGGGACATACTTAATATTAGGGGGGGTCATCCAGGTACCACAGCATACCTTCAGAGGTCTAGTGGAGTCCATGCCTGGACGGGTCAGGAAAAGGGGGACATACCCAATATTAGGGGAGGTCATCCAGATACCACAGCATACCTTCAGAGGTCTAGTGGATTCCATGCCTGGACGGGTCAGGAACAGGGGGACATGCTCACTATGAGGAAGGGTCATTCAGATACCACAGCATACCTTCAGAGGTCTAGTGGGGTTTATGCCTGGACGGGTCAGGAAAAGGGGGATCTACTCAATATTAGGCGGGTGGTCATCATCATGTTATGGCTGATCGGTGTATATCACCGTTAGGTATTGATAAGAACTATTGATACTCTTCTGTCACCTGGGATATTGCTCATAGGATGATATAATTATTGTACCAATTCATGGTATGTTTTTCTAGCAGCACACAGAACCCCTCTGACGGCTCGGAGAACATGGCCTTGTAACCTGTGACATATCTGAGCCACAGGCAGTTGAATATTAAAGAATTTCAGTTGACTCCTCTGTGGCTCATCCTCAGGGACACACACATACACACTGATAAGGGGCTGAGTTTGCTTTGGACTGGATCCCAACCCTGGACCAAGGGCAGAGGATGGTTTCATCACAACACGGAATGTTCCATCGCACAGTGGAAGGGGTGATATACAGAAGGTGTTTATGTCATCTGCTCTCTCAGTTGGTTTTGCGCTGTGGTCAAGGACGGTCAACCATTCACACATACGTTGCTCTCTCTTCTATATGGATGACTTGATCTTGGGGCGCGTAGTCCAGACGCTGCTTCGTCTCCACTTTATCAGAAGTGCCGTCTTCCACAAATATTCTTTACGACCAAAAAAAAAAGTTAACGGTGAAGATTTGAAGCCATGAAAACCATTATCGCGGCGTATTCCCGAGACCTGGGCGGTGAGTAGTTAGAGGTCTATGGTGCTATACTCTGTATGGCGCAGTCCACCCATGAACCGAGTGAATGACTGATTACTGTGATGTTGTTACAATAGCATTTGAAACATTGTAGGAATAAGTGGAAAGGAAAAAGAACAGGAGAGATCAATATATGACGTAGTATTGATTATAGATTGGGGGGGTCAGCAAGCTTTTCCACATTCTACTAAAAGGAATTGTACAGCTCTTCATCAAGCAACACTGCTTTACATTCATTCTGCGTGACTTAAGCAGCTGTTGTGAGAATGAGGAACAGTCGAATGTTCTTAGTTCAGTTTCTCTTCTGGTTGAATGTTCTTCAAATATTATGGGCAGCAATAAAATCAGATTCATTCGCAGAGCGAATCATTGAAATACTCATTGTGGCCACTAGATGGCGCTGAGGACCAGAGGAGATAAATGCATGAAATACAATGTAACCATTCTAGGGAGCAGTGGAGGGAATAAGCAAATCAATGTAACCATTCTAGGGAGCAGTGGAGGGAATTAGCAAATCAATGTAACCGTTACTTCTACTACAGGGAACGGGAGTATTTTTTTTTTACAAATAGACCCCTAAGTGTCATGTTCACAAGCATTAGACAACGGACGTGCCAGTGAACTCGTAGTCTTTCCTAGCTATCTTCTGTAACCACACAAAGCCTTCTTCCTATGTAATAGAAATGAGGAGAGGGGGAGGTGTTTGTAGTCCAAATCAGGAGAGCAGCTTAGGGTGACAACACTCCTAAATAGATATGGTACAGTCAGTGAGCGTTGTCACCCTAGGACAGGAAGTGTGTTACTTACAGGATATTAACCCATGCAGCCCCCACATATAAGAAATGTCATGCTGCTATGTAGCGTGTTTTGTATGTAGTAGTAAGTGTGCTGATTAGAATGACTGCTGCAAGCTAATGTCTATGGATGTTCTTAAAGTGTATACTTAGAGTCGAGAGGAGTTGTTAGATCTCTGTGAGTGTTTTATCTGTACCCCCGCTGGAGAGATCCCCCCCTCTCTATTTTTTCCGGTCACCATTGTCCTCAGGACTGAGATTGATGGGTAATCCAATCCAGGACAGGAATGGAGGGAAAACCTTCAGACGGGGACGCGTGTTCTGGTGACAACCATCTAAGAGGGAATTCCTATCACTTTGGAGAGGGATCTGCCTAATGGGACCCATAAAGCTGGCAGGGGCATTAACCCTTTCCTTAATCTTTTGGCTCTTGATACACTGTAACATTCCTCATGCAGATACAAACAATCACTGCGTCTTAAGATTGAGAACAATATGGAGTCATTATGTGTTTTAGGAAGCCGGCTCACATTGCGCTCTGCACTGAAGTCCATCTCTGCCGCGGCCACCCGACCTCAAGAGCACCGCCGGTCATGTGTCCAGCTCCTAGTCATAGTCCAATGGCTATTCTCCTTCCTGCTGATGGGTGAGTCTATACAATACGAGAAGGTTTGTTCACATTGTGAAGGAAATTGGACAGAATAATTATGTGACAATTCAACATGGTGGACGCCCAATGGAGAACTATAATTCCCAAGAGTTGTCACTTTGTATATAAAGCACCGGCGCTACACAGACTGGGTATACCTGGAACTGGTCACCATACAGAACACCGGTATGTTCTACTAAATAAGATCATTCTAGTGGATATCTAGTAATTGCAACCTCTAGGTTCCTCATACCTGTGGCAGACTACAGCACCCCCACCATGCCTGGACACAGAGTATGTTCTCATTGGGCAAAGTTTGCAACTATCACATACCTGCATAAGGAGATGGAGATTACAATAGTGGTCTGCTCCACTCCAAAAACTCATGGTAGGAGAACAGGGAACATAGGAATGAAGGAGTGGCAGGAGGGTCAGTGGGTGATGTTGGTCACTGGAACTTGCAGGGCAGGAGAACAGGGCATATAGGAATGAAGGAGTGGCAGGAGGGTCAGTGGGTGATGGTAGCCAAGCCACTTGAACTTGTATGGTAGGAGAACAGGGCATATAGGAATGAAGGAGTGGCAGGAGGGTCAGTGGGTGATGTTGGTCACTGGAACTTGCATGGTAGGAGAACAGGGCATATTGGAATGAAAGTGTGGCAGGAGGGTCAGTGGGTGATGTTGGTCACTGGAACTTGCATGGTAGGAGAACAGGGCATATTGGAATGAAAGTGTGGCAGGAGGGGCAGTGGGTGATGTTGCATTGAGGAACCTGGCCTTGGGGCAGCGAAGAGAGCAAATCCGGCCCTGTCCGTGCGTCATGCCCTTCAGCATCAGTGTGTCCTGGTGAATCAGCATGCTCGTGTAAACATACGTGTCCATCCAACATCCCAACACTGACACATTGTAACAACTTTCCCCCTCCGCTTCCTCTGCAGGGTTGATGTTCCTGATCCTCTTTATATATCTCTTCTTCACGTATCTGTGGCTCATATCTGCCGTCTACCTGAGCTGGCTCCTGCTGGACTGGGACACACCTGAAGCAGGTAACAATGCCAAATTTGAGGTATTTGGGGTCCTAAAAACTCATTAAATAAAAAAAATATATATATATAAGATTTGTTATTTTGTGTACAATGTATCTATGACTGAGTTCACACTTCCACCTCAGAACACAGCCAAGAACTGCACAGGCACCGGAATTGTGTCCTCTCTGGGCCACCATCTCAGTCCAGGAAGTAGGTGGTGATCCCGGATGATGCCTGAACAAAGGTGGTGCCGTCCTTCTGGAGAGAAAAGCAGATAGAGAATGTGTCATGTCTATGAGCAGCGCGGCACCAAAGGGACACATTTCAGAGAGATTTATAACATCGAATATAATTGTTTTTTTCCTCTTTCTTCTTATTCAAAGGAGGTCGGCGCAGTGAGTGGGTGCGGAGGTGGTCTCTATGGAAGCATTTTCGGGATTACTTCCCTATACAGGTATAAGATGATAACTCTTCAATCTGAAAAATCTGCTGTGTATGTTATCATATAATGTACATCCAGCTCGACCCCAAAGGCAAAGTCACTGCATTGTGATCCCCCCAGAGGGTTGTCACCCTATCACAGGAAGTGCCTGAACAAGGACAGAGCGTTGTCACCCTATAACAGGAAGTGCCTAAATAAGGATAGAGCATTGTCCCCTTATAATAGGAAGTGTCTGAACAGGGACAAAGTGTTGTCACCCTATAATAGGAAGCGTCTGAACAGGGATAGAGCATTGTCACCCTATAGCAGGAGGTGCCTGAACAAGGACAGAGCATTGTCACCCTATAACTGGAAGTGTCTAAACAAGGACAGAGCGTTGTCACCCTATAACAGGAAGTGTCTGAACAAGGACAGAGCATTGTCACCCTATAACAGGAAGTGCCTGAACAAGGACAGAGCATTGTCACCCTATAACAGGAAGTGCCTGAACAAGGACAGAGTGCTGTCACCCTATAACAGGAAGTGCCTGAACAAGGACCTCCATGGTGTGATCACCAGGGATTATTATAGATTGAAATGACATTGACACATTATAATTGATCAAAGGGTTTATTATTTAACGGTTTTATTGATCGGGTTCAGATTTATTGATCGGGTTCAGATTTATTGATCGGGTTTAGATTTATTGATCGGGTTCAGATTTATTAATCAGAGGGTTTATTGATCGGGTTCAGATTTATTGATCGGAGGGTTTATTGATCGGAGGGTTTATTGATCGGGTTCAGATTTATTGATAAGAGGGTTTATTGATCGGGTTCAGATTTATTGATCGGAGGGTTTATTGATCGGAGGGTTTATTGATCGGGTTCAGATTTATTGATCTTTTTGTATCTTTGCTCTTTCCTCTCCCCGCAGCTCGTGAAGACTCACCACCTCCCTCCGGGACGGAATTACATCATCGGCTCTCATCCTCACGGAATTCTTTGTATCGGAGCGTTTTGTAACTTTGTGACAGAATCTACCGGCTTCTCTCAGAAATTCCCGGGAATCCGGCCGCACTTGGCCACGCTGGCGGGGAACTTCCGGCTGCCTGTGCTGCGAGAATATATGATGAGCGGAGGTGGGTTCTCTTTAAATGTGGTGACACCAATGTCTGAGATTTGGGGTATGAAGGGGCTTCAATAATGGTGATAATAAACCCAAGAACAAAAAAATGTAGCTCAGGTGCTCTGGCTGCATTCCTTTTCTTTATTCAGACTTGAGGTGGGGCAGCACTGGGGGCCAATCAGGTTGTTAACAGGAAGTGCCTGAACAAGGACAGAGCATTGTCACCCTATAACAGGAAGTGCCTGAACAAGGACAGAGTGCTGTCACCCTATAACAGGAAGTGCCTGAACAAGGACCTCCATGGTGTGATCACCAGGGATTATTATAGATTGAAATGACATTGACACATTATAATTGATCAAAGGGTTTATTATTTAACGGTTTTATTGATCGGGTTCAGATTTATTGATCGGGTTCAGATTTATTGATCGGGTTTAGATTTATTGATCGGGTTCAGATTTATTAATCAGAGGGTTTATTGATCGGGTTCAGATTTATTGATCGGAGGGTTTATTGATCGGAGGGTTTATTGATCGGGTTCAGATTTATTGATCTTTTTGTATCTTTGCTCTTTCCTCTCCCCGCAGCTCGTGAAGACTCACCACCTCCCTCCGGGACGGAATTACATCATCGGCTCTCATCCTCACGGAATTCTTTGTATCGGAGCGTTTTGTAACTTTGTGACAGAATCTACCGGCTTCTCTCAGAAATTCCCGGGAATCCGGCCGCACTTGGCCACGCTGGCGGGGAACTTCCGGCTGCCTGTGCTGCGAGAATATATGATGAGCGGAGGTGGGTTCTCTTTAAATGTGGTGACACCAATGTCTGAGATTTGGGGTATGAAGGGGCTTCAATAATGGTGATAATAAACCCAAGAACAAAAAAATGTAGCTCAGGTGCTCTGGCTGCATTCCTTTTCTTTATTCAGACTTGAGGTGGGGCAGCACTGGGGGCCAATCAGGTTGACAAGGGACAAGCTGATAGGAGGAGAGAGCAGAGTGATGCTGGTTGTTGATCATTCTTGGATGCCTGCACCAGACTGACCGGAGTCCAGGCATTCCATGAATGAAGGAAGTCTATTGGTATCTTTATACTGAGATCTTGTCTCTCCGCAGGACTGTGCCCGGTGAATCAAAAAGCCATTGGATATACTCTGTCCCAGAAGGGACGTGGCAATGCCGTGGTTATTGTCATAGGGGGCGCTGCGGAGTCCTTATCCTACCAGCCGGGAGTGACAACCCTCATTCTGAGTCGGAGGCGGGGCTTTGTGCGATTGGCATTGGAGCATGGGTCAGTAATACCTTGTACAATGACATGTACCAGGCTAGAAACCTTCAAGTGTTATATCCGAGTATTGATTAACAAACAAGTAGCTGCCTGCGAAGCAAGTCACCCTCAAAATAGAAGCAGTGAAGTTGTCTATGACGGTCTTTCAGCAACTCAGCTCCTCCTGTTCCCCCTCCCAGCAGTGCATCAGTATCTGATCTCACAAATGGGACAAATTCCTAATAGACACCCTCCAAAACCTTGTGGAAAGTCTTCCCAGAAGAGTGGAGGGACCAACTCCACATTAATAGCCAATAGCCATGGAAACTCCATCTTACTGGCCATGGGGACATGGGGGGCAACTCCATCTTAATGGTCATTGGGGGAGAGAACTCCATCTTCAAGGCCATGGAGGAGGTGGCCTCCATATTAATGGTCAGAGGGGGGACAACTCCATATTAATGGCCATGGGGGGACAACTCTATATTAGTGGTTTTTTTTTGGGAGACAACTCCATATTAATGGCCATGGGGGAGACAACTCCATGTTAATGGCCATAGGGGCAACGCCATATTGATGGCCATGGGGGGACAACTCCATTTTAATGGCCATGGAAGGACAATGCCATATTAATGACCATGGGGGGAGGGCAACTCCAAATTAATGGGGATTGGGGGAGGTAGTTCCATATTAATGGTCATGACGAGGTTGGGGGAGGGGGGTAAGTACATATTACTGTCCACGGTTCTGGAATGGTGTATATATAGGTAGGTGTGATGGTCAGGTGTCCACAAAGTTTTGGCCATATAGTGTTCCTCTAGAACTGTTCTGGATCTGTACAACGACCCCCAATATGCACACACAAACTGGGAGTTATGAAATCCATTCTGGGAGTCGGTCACCATGATTTGTGACATGATGAAGTGACCACTTGATTTCTTCTATCTGCGCAGGGCAGATCTGGTCCCCTCCTTCTCCTTTGGTGAGACTGACCTGTACCAGCAGATCCATTTCTCGGAGGGCAGCATCCTGCGCTCAGCTCAGTGCAAATTCCAGAAACTTTTTGGCTTTGCCCCATGCTTCTTCTACGGCCGAGGGCTAACGTCACCTGACTCCAAGGGCTTCATCCCCTTCTCACATCCAATAACTACCGTTGGTAAGCATCATCTTTAGCCCTTTCCTCCCCAGCCTGACTGTCCCTGGCCCCGCCCCTTTCATCAATTGGATTTCAGTTCCTTCAATCATGGAGTCACATGTTGGCATTACCTGGGGTGGTCTGCATGCAAATTTTGTTTTTTGGAATCCTTTCATTGTTTTAATTTTTTCCCCCGTAGTTGGCGAGCCGGTCACTGTCCCTCAGATAAAGGACCCGAGCCCGGAGATTGTGGATCTCTATCACGACATGTATAAGCGTTCTTTGCTCAAACTCTTCCATGAACACAAGACGAAGTACGGACTGGGAGAGAACGGCGATTTGCGGATCTTGTGACCCCGCAACGTGTGGTACTCTGAGAACGGAATTGGACCTTGTCCTGTTGTTCATTGGGATGGACATTCATGATGTTAGATTGGAGGGGTGCTGATCGCTGGTAGTGTGCGGTAACGTACCAGCCATCGTCTTGCCCGTCTTTGTCCAATGTTGACTTTGCAGGAACGATATAATACGGGACATCAATGCCAGAAGGTATGAAGGTATGTCACCCCCCCCCAGGGGGGGGGGGGGGGGGTCCTCACATTATATCCATCATAGACCCCCAATGGATTGACCAATATGTTCCCACTCCCCCTTCACCAGCTTGTCCAAATCATCATCATCATCATCAGTAGGCCTATTGGATACCAGTTTGGTTTTACTTGTTTTATGGATTGCTAGGAACAGGACAGCTGAAAGAAATTTTATATAAGAAGGATTTTATATTTATTTAGGAAAAAAAGGAGAATTCACCAATACGCAAGTTACAACTAGAGAGATATGGAACGGGGGTCCGGTTCCTGACACTGGTACTCCCATGTCATGTGACCCATTACGCCTGCTTTAATTTCAGGTGTAATAATATACAGCCTTGGTTCTCAACTGGTGACCCATGTTCAGTGGGTCACCGCATGCCATCCACATTTGTAGGTGAGAGGCTCCTCGACCCCCCACAGAAGAGCAGTTCCCACGCCAAGCAGCCATTCAAAATATGCTGCCCGGTGCCGAGTGTCAGCTTGAGGTGGGGTGGGATGATGCCATGGCCGCGAGGGAGCTCCATCCACAGATGCATTGCTTACAGCTCTCTCACGTGCCCTGTAGAGGTGCCTGGACCGGAGTGACATCACATTCTGGCTCCCGGAACCTCTTCAGGGTGCACAAGGGAGCTGTACCAGCAATGCAAATTTGGATGGAGCTCCGTCTCAGAACAGCAGCCCACGCTGGACCCCAGGTTAAGGATCCACTCCAGTTCTTGTAAAGGTTGGGAGACTGGATGGATGTATGTGTGTGTATGTGTGTGCGTGGGAATGTTTGTGAGTGTGTGAGATCGTGGTTATGTGTGTGCTGGCAGTGTTTTTGAGGGCCCATTTACACTAATCGCGCAGTCCCGTGTGGGAGGTGTGTTGCATTGCCATTCATTGGAATGGCACCCCCAAACGCACCTCCCACCCACAGTTCAATTGCCCCCACAGGAGCGTGCGTTCCAGTGTTGTGAGACTTAGGTCATGACTCAATGAACCAGGACGATTGAGGGCTCTGAGGTTACACAGGTTGAGAACCGCTGATATATAGAATATTGTTTAAATTATTTAAAATTATTTCCAGAGCCCATTCAACAAATCTCCGGGTGTATAATTCACATCTGTATACTGATGGCTTATAAAATAAATAATGAAATGGAACTGCTGCGAAATACTCGGTGCTTGTAGGTATAGAGGACCAGGCGATCTCCTACCATGATGCAGTTCTTGGGTTTAGTGGACAACCTCCAGGTCCAAACACAGAGTCTCTATTAACCCCTCTTTGACTCACGCATACTCACCGTCACTGAAATCCCTTTCTACTACATGGTTCCATTGAAGCTGCTAAAAAATACTCGGTGCTTCTAGGTACGGAGGACCATGTGATCTCCTACCATGATGCAGTTCTTGGGTCTAGTGGACAACTTTCATGTCCACACACATAGAGTCTCTTTGACGCCCCCCCCCTTCTGTGACTCACTTATACTAAACCGATCCCTGGCTACTCCATAGTTCCATTGGAGCTTCTACAAAATACTCATTCATTCTAGGTACGGAGAACCATGTGATCTCCTACCATGATGCAGAGCTTGGGCTTAGAGGACAACCTCCAGGCCCGAACACAGAGTTAGGGTTAGAGGGGTAGTGTTAGGGGTTAGGTTTACAGGATTAGGGTAAGGGGTTAGAGGATTAGGGGTTAGAGGATTAGGAGTTTGGGTTAGGGTTCAGGGGCTAGGGTTAGAGGATTAGGGTAAGGGGTTAGGGTTAGAGGATTAGGAGTTTGGGTTAGGGTTCAGGGGCTAGGGTTAGAGGATTAGGGTAAGGGGTTAGGGTTAGAGGATTAGGAGTTTGGGTTAGGGTTCAGGGGCTAGGGTTAGAGGATTAGGGTAAGGGGTTAGGGTTAGAGGATTAGGAATTTGGGTTAAGGTTTAGAGGCTAGGGTTAGAGGGTTAGGGATTAGAGTTAGGGGCTTGGGTTTAGGGTTAGTGTTAGGGTTAGAGTTAGGGATTAGGGTTAGTGTTAAGGGTTAGAGGGTTAAGGTAAGGGGTAGGGTCAGAGAGTTTGTGTTAGGAGTTATGGTTAGAAAGTTAGGGTTAGGGGGCTAGGGGGCAGGATTTAGGGATAGAGAGATAAGGTTTGGGGTTGGGGGTTAGAGGATTGGGCCTGAAAAATTCCATACATCCATCAGTGGAGTGTATGTAGACAGGAAGTGGCTGCAAGGAGGCTGAAGGGGATCAGCTGCCCTGAGATGGAACAAAGAATCAAAAAATGGATGAAAACAAGTATTTTTTTAATGGACAATTGTTTACACACTGCAAAGTAAATGTAACCCATTGGGGTAACATCCTCCTAACCCTCCTGTACTGTATCTATACTGTCTCCCTTTATTGTGTAAAGCACTGAGCAAACTGTTGGTCCCAAATAAATCCTGAATAATACTAATAATAATAATAATGGGGCATTCTTGTATGAAGCCAGCAGGGGTCGATTGAGTTTTCTGGGCATGTTCTGTCCTCTGCTCTGATTGGCCAGCGCTGTATGAAATGTTCGGTAACATTATTTATATATAGATTTATTAATGATAATAGACGACATTTCAACAGGAAAACCTCTAGCCCCCCTCTCCCTCCCCCCTCCTCTCCCTGAGACTTTCACCTGGAAGTTGAGGTGATTCTAATATTAGCTCTGTAAGTGAAATGAGGAAATGAGACAAAATTTGCTTTCCCAGTTAGTGAAATAGAACTTCTCTCCGGGGCTGATTTTATTTAAACAAGAACTCCGGGCAGAATAAAAAGTGGGGCTACCCCTAGACTAAGTGCTCCCTTTGGTCTAGGGCAGTGGTTCTCAACCTGTGTAACCTCAGGACCCACATTTGTCCTTGGTCATTAAATCACGGCCCTAAGTCACACTGCAATGCAATGCACGGCATTGCAGTACTGGGCGTTCGGGTGCAGGCGATCGGAGGTGCATTCGGGGTGTCATTCAAATGAATGGCGGCGCAACAGACTGATTGCGTGGTATAGTGCGTAAATCGCATGGGACTGGGTGATTGACGCATTGTACTAGTGTGAATGGACCCTCAAAAACACTGACAGAGACACACACAACCACAGACACAATCTCACACACACATAATCATTTTTTTTGGAGTGTGTAAGATCCATCCAGTCTCCGTACCTTATGAGTAATGGAGTGGATCCTCAGCCTGGGGTCCAATTTGGGCTCCTGTGCTGTGATGGAGCTCCATCCATATGCACATTGCTTGTACAGCTGCCTCTACAGGGCACATGTGGGAGCCATAAGCAATGTACATATGGATGGAGCTCCCTTATGGCCATACTTCCAGCCCGCCCCACCTCAAGCTAACACGCAGGGTCGGGCAGCATATTTTGAATGGCTGCTTGGCGCAAGAACTGACAGTGCTGCGCTAGGGGGAGGCTGTGGAATGTCCCACCTAGAAAAGTGGAAGGCATGTGGCGACCCACTGAACATGGGGTCGCGACCCACCAGTTGAGAACCAAGGGTCTAGGGTGTAAAATAAAAAGATACACAATTGTCATTTCAAAAAATTCTTGTGTGCAACTTTTTTCCTGCAGCGTCTTTGCAGCCACTTCCTGTCTACATGCACTCCAGCGATGGCTGCATGGCATTTCTCAGGGCGGGATTCCTGTTGGTGACAAAAGTGGGCGATGTCTGTGTAATGTGTGATGAATTGGCCACTTGTAGCCTCCATCGGCAGCCCACGTGACAGGGTGACAACGCAGGAGGACAGTTGGGAGATAGGGATGGAGTGTTGTCGCCCTATAACAGGAAGTGCCTGAACAAGGGCCTCCATAATGGGATCATCAGGGATTTTTTTTAATGACATTAAGGGGCATTTATTTTGAATGGGTTTGCTGTTCACTACATGGACCTTTGTTCCAGCTCCCCACATCACATAGGTAGTTCTCTGCCTTGTGGTGCGCTAGAACACTGCGGGGCCATTTAAAATGAATGCCACTCTTGTGGTGACACTACTGCAAAACAAAGGTTACGTGATATGCAGCAAATCTACAATGGGTGCCCTGGTACCAGCAGGGCCGGATTTCCCACACGGCCAAACGAGGCCTGGCCTTGGGGCAGCAGGGAGTAGAGGAGCAGCAGGGGTGTGGAATTCCTATCTCTCGATGCCCGGGACATGCAGTTCTGGGCGCTCGGTGGGTAGTTGTTTTCTACATTTAGCCCTGCTTTGGGCAAGCCGAGCTAACTGTACAGCGGGGAAGCTGCCACTTGTTTTGTACAAGTGATCTTGGCAATGTCGCCGAGATCACTTGTATGCAGCCTGAATACAGGGGGGCGCATTGAGGAACCCTAGCATTGGGGCAGCAGAGAGAGTAAATCCGGCCCTGGGTACCGCTCTGCATCCACCTTGGTCATGTGACCTGGTACTGCTGCGTCGTATGACCTCCTGCTGATGGTGGGTCTGGATGAAGTTTAAGGCTCCCTATGCAATCCCTAATGGCAGCATGTTTCAAAAAAACGGACCCACATCTAGAGCCTATTTCTACTTTAAAGTGTGTTGTCGAGATGAGTCGGCTTGTAGGAACTTTACTGTTCCACAGAGAAGTGAAAGTCCATAAGTCATTCTTCTTAATTCATTTCAGTAGCCAAAAAGCCTCATGATCGTCCCACAGAGGAAACGTGCTCTGAGCAGCCTTCCTCTACTTCCATAATATGGAGGAACCCTTAAAATGAAATGAAACACATTATAATTATTTTAGAGCTTTTTCATATTGA